TGTTAAGTTTAGAGTTACTGTGGAAATTCTGTGTATTACAAAGTTGTATCGAGAAAGAATAAACTAGTTTTAATTTAAAGAAGGACTTGTATCGCTGAAGTTTCTCGGAAAGAATTTACACCGAAATTAACAAAAGAGTAGAGACGTAACAAATTGGTGTCAGAGAGTGAGATAGAAAAGAAAAAAAAAGAAGATGGAAACGAAAAGTGGCAAATCAAACTACAGCTTAGCAGATTTGATGGCAGCAATACAAGAACAGCAAAGAAACAAGAAGAACGAGAAAATAAACAAGAAAAGAAATTACAGCAGTTGTGGAGGAAAAGAAAAGAAACAAGAAGAATGAGAAAATAAACAAGAAGAGAGACTACAGCAGTGGTTGGAGGAGAAAGAAAAGAAACAAGAAGAGAGATTACAACAGTTGTTGGAGGAAAAAGAAAAAACAAGAAGAACGAGAAAGAAGCAAGAAGAGAGACAACAGCAGTGGCAAGAAAATCTGCAACAGTGACAGCTCGAACAGCAAAATAAACAAGAGAGACTACAGCAGTGGTTGGAGGAGAAGGAAAATGAACAAGAAGAGAGATTACAGCAGTGGTTGGAGGAGAAGGAAAATGAACAAGAAGAGAGACTACAGCAGTGGTTGGAGGAGAAAGAAAATAAACAAGAAGAAAGTCTTCAACAGTTGAGAGAAACCAGCATACACAAATGGAAAAGATTAATAAATTTAAAAGTCAATTAAATACATTAAAGGACGATTTACTGTCTTTTACATAGGAAGGATATATTAGCTATGGGCCTAATCAGCTCCAGACAACAAAAAGCCCCTTCCAGACCCCGCTGCTAAACCCTAATGCAGACATCTTCAGTACTGCCAGAAGTCACATTCCAGCAATAGGGGTGATCTAGTACGAAGAAAGCCACAGGAATTCGATGGGAAAGCCTACAATGGAGAATAGCCCTAGTGTACCTGGATGATGTCATTGTGTTTGCAACAACGTTTGATGAGGAA